TTCTGCCTAAAATTCCAGAGATAATATATTTTAAAATGAATTTAAAAAAAAAGTGTCTTTTACCATTTGCCAACCTTGCACAATATTATCTTCTGGTACTGAAGAAGTAATCCATGGTTCAGTTGGATTCCGTGAAAAATCTGAAATTTTTCCTCTATGCCAATCATGAATGAACTAAAAAATTCAGAAAATAAACATTTCTTATCAGTTTATTTTTCTTACCAACAATTCCGATGGACCATCTTCAGCATTATCATTTGTTTGTTCTTCACCAATTTTACTAAACAATTAACAAATTAATAAAGAACAAAAACAAATGGCATCTTCACCTTAAATCCCAAACACGTAATCGTCTACCAGTACCACTTGATGCAAGAATTGTTTCATTATGATGTGACGATTGTACTTGAAATATTTCATTTTTATGTGATTCAAATGTATGTAATTTTAACATGAGGTTTCGAAGATCCCAAAGTGCAACTGTCTAAATATAAATAATTAAAAAAAATAAGAACTAAAACTCCAAACAAACTTTATCAGCTGAAACAGTTGCACGAATATATTCTGAAAATGAATTAAATGATAAGCAATTAACTTCTGCACTATGTGCATCAGCAACATGAGATGATTTTGTATAATGTGATGAACATGTATTCCAACTAAAAAATAAAAAATAAAAAATAAAAAAAATCGAATTGATATTTAAATAAAATAAAATAATATATTAATTTATTTTTACATCGTTAATTTACGATCATCACCAACGAAACCAAAAAGTGTTTTATGAAATAAATGCCAAGCAAAATCCTATTAAAAAAAGCAAATATTAAAATATTTTGGTTTTTTACTTTATTTTACTTTGACGACAGCTTGATGTTCAGAAAAATTCATAATGGATCAACAAATTTTTCTTCTATTGCTAGTTTTTCAGTATTCCATAAACAAATTGTCTGATCATTGGATGCAGATAATATATGTCTATTAATATTAGGATTCCATGAAAGAACATAACCTTCTTTTGTATGTCCACAAAGACGTAACTCAGGACGACAATCAATATTTTGAGTTGCTAATTTAGTATAATTATATATTAATACAACAGCTGATGGAGAGTTGGTTGCAATAAATGATGAATTTTGTGGCATATAACTAGCACGATTAACTTCGCCATCATGATTTATTTTTAATTCAATATTAACTTTAGCATTATATAAACCAAAATCACCAAATTCTGAAAAAAAAAGTTTGTTTTTTTTTAGACAAAAATATTTGATTTGAAAAAATAAAATTACCTCTTCGTTCAGATCCATATTCAGTCGAATCATTTCCTGTACCTTCTTTAGGAATTTGTACAGATGCAGTTAATAAAGGATTTTGTTCATCTGATGTAAGTGTATTAAGAATAGGATGATGAACAGTATAATCTTGACTATCGTCGGTCCAGAACCAATAGTTTTCTAATATATATTGATATCGATTTTGACTAAATCTATCTCAAAGATGGAAATGAAATCGACACTGATTCTATGTGTAGAGACTATCGGATCTCATCCAAGTCCCAGAAAGTATAATTCTGATCAATAGCATCATACAGTCTATCGAAAAATGTTAGCTCCTTCTATTCTTGGAAAATATCGATAACTGTAATTGAAATTAAATTTTACAAACAATAAAAATAAAGCTCTGTATCTTTGTAACAAAGATATTAATTAGTATGAAAATTTTTCAAATTCTTACTTGAGGTTTATTTGATCAAAGTCTTCTGTCATTGTAATGTGCGCCTAACTCACATAAAATGAATTAAATAAATATAGAATCGAATGCATTTACCTCTCCTTGATCAATATTAGCTGTTGGAAGAAGATCAATATCTTCATTTTATTTACCACGAATCTAAAAGAATTTATCATTTATTTATACAAATTAAAAAAGAATAACGAACGTTTTTTTCAAGTGTTGCAATTGTTTTTTTCATTTCATCATTTTCTTTTTGACATTGTTCAAGACATTGTTGTAAATCTTCAACCATTTTCTCTATAAAATTGAACAATCGAATGAATGAAATTCATCACAACGAATATATTTACTTAATTCATTATAATTTTGTTCAGTATTATGTGGAAGTAGATTTCCTTTAACCATGACAATACTCAGGGCGAAACTACCCACCAGGATCCTGACGGATCCCTGAATAATCCGATGACATCCGACAACAGGATCCGGCCGGATACCGACTGTCTGAATCCCCGTTATATCGCTTGATTTCCGACGTTGTTCGACAGTCGGATTCTCAAGGATTCCGATGGTAGAATCCACCACTTTCCGATAGCTGGAACTTATCGGATCCGCCGTCATCCGACTACCGAAACTTATCGGATCCGACGAAATCCGATAGTATAATAGTGTTTATAAATAGTTTTTTTTTAATTTCTTATATTTCATTGCTTCTTATTTTATTTTATTTTCTACTTTACTGTATATTTATTTTATTTTTATTATAGTTTTATTTTATTTTAATTTAACTTAATTTAATTAATTTTTATTTCATTTTATTTTATTTTATTTTATTTTAATATACTTTATTTTTAATCGATTCTAATGCTTTAGTTGAATCACAGCGCCCTCATCCACACGTTGTACGGTGTGTTTACATTACACCAATCAGTGTGTAGATGTAATGAATAAAGGACTGTCTGTTTCTATTTTAGTTTTTTATTTCATTTCGTTTGGTTTCAAATTATATGACGGCAGGCATTTTATAAGCAGTAAGTAGAAATTATTTATTTTAGTTTAATTTTTTATTTCAGTCTATCTTTTTATGCTGTTTATATTATTACATTTTATTTTTATTTTCATTTTACTGTACTTTATTTTATTTTTATTAGTGTAATTTATTTTATTTCTTTAATTCTTATTTTAATTTTATTTAGTTTTTATTTTAATTTAAAATCTTTTGTGTTTTATTGTATTTTTTTTATTCTATTTATTTTATTCTTTGCTATTTTATTGTAATTTTCTTTAATTTTATTTCTTTAGTTTTAATTTTTGGCTATTTTATTGTAGGCTTTTTTAATTTTATTTTTATCTATTACATTGTAACTTATTTCTATTTTTT